GTCGTAGTAGTAGTAGTAGTAGTAGTAGGTAGTAGGTAGTAGGTAGTAGTAGTAGTAGTAGTAGTAGTAGCAGCAGCAGTAGTAGTAGTAGTAGTAGTAGTAGTAGTAGTAGCAGCAGAAGTAGTAGTCGTGGTGGCAGTAGTAATGGTCGTAGCGGTGGCAGTCGTGGTAGTAGGAGCAGCAGAAGTAGTAGTCGTGGTGGCAGTAGTAGTGGTCGTAGCGGTAGCAGTCGTGGTAGTAGGAGCAGCAGGAGGAGTAGTCGTCGTGACAAATCGCGCGCCTGTGCCATGAGCTTTGTAACACTTTCGGCGACGGCGGCTTCTTGGGGGAATGATGAATGGGCTGTCTGGTATGTATATATACTGTATATGTGTGTTTTGCAACCACTTTGGCGGCGGCGTCTGCTTGCAGAGCGGGGACTTAGCCGCGACCCGGTCGTGGCGTGCGTCGTCAACAATTGCAACGACTTTCGCGCTTGACTGCATTATTTAGATGTCTCCTCCGTGATGGATGCGTATGATACCAGACCCAAACAAAGAAGCAGCAATAATTCTCGCTCGTCCTCTACGAATTCTACTATCTACTCTACTCGCACAGGATCTCATCGAGCTCCAATCTGCCGCAGAAGTCCGGGCGAGCGCGCTGGTACCCCGACCCAAATCGCGTGTTTGTTGCAAGAGTCCGTCTCTACTGATGCAGGTACACATGCAGGGATGTACGTGCAGGTGTATGCACTGAAATGCGCTGTAACGTAATGTAAAGTGCCACGTAAAAGGCAACGTATAATATGCCATGTTATGTGTTATGCAATATGTAACGTATGATGTAATGTAGTATGAAAAACACTATTTAATTTGACGGGAAAACCATGTGTGGTGTAGTATCTAGTTCAACGTATGATGATCTATGTAGTGCAACGTGGAACGCGCTATATCACTATGTAAATGCATTTGGCACTGTAACATGCCACTCTTGAGGTGCATGTGCCTGCATATTCATAGGTGCATTCATCTTGAGAGATGTGTATTTGCTGTTCGTACCTCTTCTTGTGATGCCTTCTTTGTGTAGGCAGAACATTCCTGCAATCAGCGGTGAGGGGGCCTTGTAACAGTTGGCCGTCACTGCGAGTGAGTTAGGGAATGCTGGCCAAGCGGTCCGCCAGCGCAAAGATGTGACCATTGCATTTGTCGGCGCAACACACAGTATCGACAGTCACCGAGCCTCCGCATTGGTACACACTGCGATGAGCAATGGGGTACATTCAGGCACTTTTTCCCCCACTGCAACGGGACTTTCATCCATTCCGCTTGTTCCCAACCCAATCCTTTTGTGAAGAGGGTGGTCGTGCGGAGGAGGCCTTCTCCCTCTATGCCATCCGAAGGAAGGAAAGCAGGGAAGAGGATTTGGGAGGCGACCCGACAGAACCACACGCCGACCCTCCTCAACGCTTCCGAAATGAGAAACTCCCGAACAGGTGCAAGGTCCGCTAGTTTTCGGCTTCTTCCTGGAGCAGTTGGGGCGAGGTTGGCTGTCATGCAAGACTTTCCGATTTAATTTGGATCTGCAAGTTAGTCAGGGCTACTTCTATTGGCTTGGGGTCTCAAGATCAGAGCTTCGTCTTTGAAGTTTGAAGGGCCTGTTTTGCTTTCGTCTAGAGAGCTTCCCCGTCCTGGGCAGGCCGGGAAGCCTTCGCAACTGACCATGGGTTTGTTCGCAGGCTTTCAAACGTTCTTCCTTGAAACCAGAACCCAAAACACCGGTCGTCGGTCGTAGGCGTAGATGCTTGTCACCATGCCGACATGCTTGTGAGCGTGGGGTCCAAGAATTGCCATCGGCCCCGGCAGAATCACGATCAGGTACCATCACCTCCCTATCATGAGCATTGGCGGTGGCCACTTAGAACACCGGAATCCTGATCTCACTACCATCATCATCATCATCACCCCAGGGACGCTGAAGCCTTTGGCCGACATCGGCGGGCGGCTCCTTGAGGATCGTCTTCAGAGGAACCAGCAAAGCTCGGCAGAGGTGCTTTGCTGAAAGTTGGCCTTGACTGGGATACACCCGATCAATGTGCCGTATTTTCAGACACGTCAGCGCAGTCCAGTCCATGATAGTGCGAGGCCCTCGGCCCAGTTTGCAAACAGGGTAGACAGGAGACTGCCAGCAGGTTTCTCTTGTGTTCCCACAGTAAGAACGGCTGTCCAGCTTCTCGTTTTCTACAGCGAAGTTCCGGACAGGTTGCCCTCATACCTAACTCACGGTATTGCAAGGCTCTTGGGGGATTCTGGGGTTTGCATGCGTCAAGTCAGACTCATCGCTCATCCGCAGTGTTCGATAGATGCATAGGCGTGCCTCTTAATTTTCAGTCTCGTGTCTCGTGGGTAGGAATTCAGAGTTCAGTTTACAGATCGTAAGAACAGCCGTGATCACTTTGTCCGTCGCCATTTTGGCGATCAGCCGATCGGCCCGGATTTTCGATCCCGCCCACTCCACCCCATTGATCTTTGTCGGGGGGATCTACTGTGGGTCTTCAAGCTCTCGCTTATGGAACCTACGATGATCTCTGTCGACCCTGTGTCGACGGTCCTTACACAGGCTGTTTTTGCGACGGCCTGCCTGGTCGCGGTGGCCGGCTCATACGTCGCGGTCGCACAAAAGTCTGTGTGCGATCGTTGGCTGTTCAGTGAATTCTCGAGCGGTGAAGATGTACTAATCTGATATATATATACACACATATTTACACATCTATAACATATACACCAACATGATTCAAAGCACAGTCTAGTACCGACTAAGAGGTTTGAAGACAAAACGCGGGCTGCCCAGGAAGTCAACCAGTTCGTGACGCACCTGCAGTTCAAGCCCACGATGAAGTTCAGCCCTGGGGTGCTGATCTTTCTCTTGGAGCAGGCGGTCCTGGAGCTCTGGAAGTTTATCCTGGACCTCTTCAGCAGGCAGGGAACGCCGGTGGGGTGGCTTCATGCCGGAGGCAAAACAGAGACCTGCTAACTGTGTATGTAACGTGAGGCAGCGTAGTGCAGTGTAATGTATAGCAATGCAGCGCAGTGTAGTGTACAGATGTGTGTACAGCGGTGTATTGTCACGTAACATACAGTAATGTACATATGTATGTACATATGCGGGTATGCACATGCATACGTATGTATGTTTTGTATGAGCGCATGTATGTATGCATGTATGTATGTACTGTAGTGTACTGTGACACTGTAATGTCATGCAATGTAATGCATTGTAATGTTAGTGTCATGTAACGTCATGTCATGTGATGTAATGTAATGTAATGCAAAGACATGAAATGCAATGAAATGAATGTATTTATGTATGCATGCATGTAATGCAATGTACTGTACTGTATCGTAGTTTGAAGTAATTTCATGTAATGTATGTATGTATGTATGTACGCATGCAAGCATGCATGTATCATGTATGTATCTGTGTGTGTGTGTGTTTGTACGGATGCATGCATGCATGTACGCATGGATGAATGGATTGATGGATGGGGGTATTGTATATGGGATACCTTTCAAGTTTGCAAAGCATGCGTACTCTCATGAAGTAGGCGGCAGTAGGCGGGGAGGTCCTGCGGGGCGGGCCCTTGATTATCCAGTGCTCGTCCCTTGAAGGCATGTATTTTGCAGGGATAAGCTGAGGATAGGCTTGGGCTAAGTCATGGATAGTTGCAGGACAGTGGAGTTTCAGGATAAGGCCAGCATAAGACATGAAGCACAGGCGGCTGCAGCACCCTGGGGATAGGCCGAGGATAAGCCCAGGATAAGCCGAGGATAAGTATGTGTGCATGCGCACACACATATCTATGAACTTGAGCAAACTATTGAAGACGCATTTTTGCAGCAACCAGAACCGCATGAGTGACATTAGTTTCAGACAGAGATGACAGGCGAAACGTAAAGTAAGGAGTACTTGTGGATTGCTGATGATTAAGCTTCTGGTCGTTATGATCAGTTAAAGTGCTGCTTATCAAGCCTTTATCATGTAAGCGACACATAACACCAAGCTAAGCGCGTATTAAGACCTTATAAAGGTGGCATACCCCTAAGCTCTGCCAATCCTTGCTTTCCTGTAACAACATGATAAGCAAGGGACCCCCGCCAGGACCCCCGCGTCTACTTCATGATACTCCGTGAGCATGATTAAGTTCATATGCTCACATATACAGACACAAATGTACTACATGCAGTATGGACAGGTGCATACAATTAATAATTAAGCAATTGCGGTAATAGCACTCTTGGAACTGTCCTGTTACCGACCATTGATTACTTTCTTTTCCTGCCCTATCTCCCACTCATGTGTTCCAAATCCTCCCAATGCTGGAAACCTAGCTGCCACTGCTCTCGCTCTTACGGAGGCTGCAGCCTCCGATGCAGACGGCTCTTATGGCCACAGACGAGCCCCCGGCCCCAGTTCTTCGATCTTTGGCTGTACACCATGCAGGTGTACTGCATGTGGAAGCTTTCACTGTTTTGAGGAGCGTGACGCAAAGCACCGCAACCGTGGCTTGCATAGTTGATGCCTACGAACATGAACAGGCACAACAATCATCTTGACAACATGCAAGCGCGCATGCTGGATTGCTGAACTGTGCGATGCGCATAGTGCACACACCTTTCAACCTTTGCATGTCAAAGACGTATTTCAGCGTGCTACGCATCAAAACATCATCTGGTCCAATCGCTCCTAAATGAATGTCGTCATCCATACACGTGCAGTGTCGGCTCATGAAAAATAGACGTTGTTCGTCTAATTTGTCTACTGGTGCATCGACGCATCCGTGTATCCATGCATTCCTTTGTGCGCGCACGGGTGGTCTCGAGGCTGGCCATGACTGCAAACTACCTAAAATTAGGGCATCCGACCTCTCACCGAAGTAATTAGCTGCGAGGTCATATGCCCAGCTGGTGGGTCGGAACCAGACTTGGCTGGCACTGTTGCGGTCCGTGCCCATGCTGCACATATGCAGTTTTCGGGATCCTCAGATGCGAAACAGCTTAACCACTGAAGAGGCGGCAATTTCAATACCAGGATAAGAATGTAAGCTTGCTCTCAGAGTCTCAACAGAGCAAGCAACTCCTGATCGGCAAAGGCGAGGGCGGCCGCAGGCGTGACACGCATCTCCTGCGTCCGGAGTCTGCATGCTTTCGCCAACCTCCAGGAGGAAACGCCTCGCCTCGTTGCTGTTTTCTGTTGGCTCGTTGTTTGAGTGTGCCTGGCCCTTCGGCTTGATCGGCCTTCACCCCCGGAATCAGATGAGTCCACACTGTTGCCGTTTCCATGCATGTGGGTCTCAAGGTGATAATTTCGGGAGCCGACCTTTTGGAGGATGTATGCCCCTCAGGATTCTGATGCCGTGTCGGCTTTTCAGACAGGTTAGATGTCTCCAGCTGCTCTACGTGGTACTATCCGGTTGTCGCGAGCTGTGCTGGCAGCGCTCTTGTTTGTACACTGTGTGACTACAAACTGTCCGACCCAGCGCTTCCAGGAGGAGAGCGCTCTGTGGGCCCAGAACTTTACAGTGCAGGAAAGGCTCCAGGATGACGTGTTGCCTGGCAGCATGGTAGCTTTTAGCGGCATCCTTCGGCACTGTTGACACTGAACCAGAGAAGCTTGAACCCGATGTGCTTTCCATTTGTCCGTGCGGTGGTGGGCTTGAATCTGGTGGAAACACTGCCTACTAATACTTCGCAATTAGATGCTGGGTTTGTTGACCCGCCGTCGACTCAGCCACGATGAAAACTTTGTCTGGGTTTGCAAACTTGACAGGCTTCTCAGACAGTCCAGCCCGGTCAGCCAGCAGTGCTTCTTCGGTATCCGCACCGGGACCTGCAAAGTTTATCGCTCCTCCGTATGCATTTGTGCATCAGATGTTTCTCCTCTGTCCGGGAGGGAAGCTGGAGTCAAGTATGGAAAAGATGTAGCTGGTTGGGTGCTTACTTCTGTACACATCACACGTGCTAGTTTTTCTGAGTTGGGCTTCAAGCTTCTATGACAAGGCTGCCGAACTTCGGGGCCTTCTGTCACAAGCAGCAGAAGTGTCAAGCTGGCAATCTGTTATGGAAACCTAGACCTGGGACTATTTCCGTCTTCAATGACACCGGGCATGACAGCTTCAACCTCTTAACATCCGCTATTTAAATCCACAGGCCGGCAAGCCCTGAAGCCTGAAACCTGCCTGAAACCCAGGGCTGCAGCATGCCCAGAGTAGAGAGCCTTGTTTTGGTTCTGTGCTCTCGCAAATGCCGAATGCTCACTACTATTCATCTCTGTAGTCGATGGGGATACTTGACGTTGCTACTTAAAGTGTTTACGGCCAGAAATATGCATAGTGATGATTCGAGTGGTCATGATTGCTTTTCATCGTAGGCATCACCAGCATCAGCACCACCACCATCATCATAATCACCATCATCATCATCAGGTTGTTACGAGCTTTTCAGTGCAACTGCATCTCAGGAGGTGGCGAGGAGGTCGCAACGCTTGAAGCAGGAGACTGCTTCGGCGAGGCGCGCAGCACCACTAGCTGTGGCTTGAGGTGCGAGGATGAGGCGAGAGTCTGAAGAAACGGCTGCTTCAACGACTTGTCGGGGGACAAGACCGAGGGCGCACTTACAGCACCGGGTGGTTCCAGTTCAAACCGTCGTCATCGTCGCCGTTCTGCTTTAAAACGGTAGCATAGACGCAGCTTCGTGGTGGTGGTAGTAGTAGTAG